AACCTTCTATGAAGACGGCAGAGAGATGATGTTGTTACGGTTACCAGGAGTTGATTGCACCTAATAATAAAAAATACACAATAGTTGCTGTTATAGCATTCATCCATTAAGACAAAGGAAGATTTAATATGGGGTATCTTTTGGAATGTATGGAATGCTGGAAGGGGAGCGGAACCACAATGCTGTTGCTAGGCGATGAGGTTCCCCTTTCGCCGTATCTGCCTCGCTGTCATGGCTGCGATGGATTACCTGGCCTGTGTTTTGCTTTGTTTTTCGTTCTCCTGTTTACTACAGTTTGATGGGATCCAGACAGTCAGTGTATTGGAAGGGCGAACATCTCCGGTTTCCTCCTCCATCTTCTACTGATCTCTCTTTCTGGAGGGGAGGGAGGCAGCAGTCCTACAATTAGTGTACCTGAAGGATGTAGCCCCCAAGTGAAGGTGTATGTGCAGAAGGTGCAGAACCCCCCCACCCCATTGGATCCATCTGCATCGCGGTTCGGCTTGGCCCTGCAGAACCCCCCCACCCCATTGGACCCATCTGCATCGCGGTTCGGCTTGGCCCTGTAGAACCCCCCCGCCCCATTGGACCCATCCGCATCGCGGTTCGGCTTGGCCCTGTAGAACCCCCCCGCCCCATTGGACCCATCCGCATCGCGGTTCGGATTGGCCCTGCAGAACCCCCCCGCCCTGTCGTCGTAGTTTCTTTGTGGTGTTCTGTGTGACCTCTCCGCTCAGCTTCCTGTTAATAACGGCGGCCTTTCCTCGCTTTTATTATGGCTTGTCGCCGTTATCTAGGAATTGGATTACCTCATAAAATTAGAGAGATGACACTTTCCCACTTTGTGTCAATATTTATTCTCTTATCTGCGGCTCTGATCCGGGGTGACACATGTATAAATCCAGTTGACCCAATTACCGAAACGTGCTGTCGACTGTCTGGTCATCTTGCCCCCCCCATTTCTGACCTGTCATTTCCTGTGTCCGCTGGCGTCTCTCACACACAGACATGCATACAGTCACACTTTTGGTTTGGCTTCCTGCTCCGTCGAGCCTTTGCTTTTGTTGCAGGGTGGCAATCTTGTCCCCTTTGTATGTACACGCAGCTGCTGGTGCTCTCCCTAGTGGCCAATCTCTGTAACTGCCCTCAATGTTGGCTCCGCCTCCACGGTGTTTCCCGCCTTTCCGTGAAGCCCCAGGTGCCGTGATTTGCCGACTGGGCCCACGCAGAGCCTGTCTCACTTCACATATTCCCCCAACTTGCCGGGAGCGATTTCCCCCCTTTGGACACCCTGGGTTGTTGCTCAGCCCCCCCCCCTCCCAATCAGCTGACCATGCCTCACCACCAGGCCGCGGTGAATTCCTGCCGTCTAAAGGGGCGAGTCAGACTTGAAACCGGGTCTCTTGGGCAGTAAGCCCAGCCATAACCTATGTTGTTTGACATGACGGCAAACCCAAGACAGCATTTATATGTAATAAAAACACTGGGGACGGTGTTTGGTGGGGAATGGGCTCTGAGCCCACGGTTAGTAGGTCGCCGGTTCAAATCCCAGGGTTGGCAGAGTAGAGGCCCGTAACCCCCAAAGGCTCCAGGGACGGTCTGTCCCTGGTCTCAGTCGTGCGCTGCTTTGGATAAAAACCCCCCTAAATAAAATGTTAATGTGAAAAAAGAACGGTTTATAATTCGTGATAAATGCTCGTATGACAATATATTATTGGTGACTTTTTCGGTCGCTAGATTTACTCCCAAAAAAAAAAAAACAAAAACATTGCTGTCTGTACAGTCAGCAGCCCCCCCCCCCCAAGAGTGTTGTTGGAGAGGGTTAATGTCATTCATCCAACTTGTATTATAACTGTAATTTTCAGCCTTCAGATTTGGTTTCACTTTAGCAGTCGGGAAGGTAATTGTGTTGACAGGTTGTTTGTGGGGACCGTAGCGAGCTGTGTACGTTTGGGCGGCTGGCATACTGCTGTAATCTGAGCCGCTGCCAGATTCGCTGTTCCCGGCCCGGCCTGGGGGGCCGTGGGGGGGTCGAGGTCAGGACACCGCCTCCGTGCTCCGGCACACAGGACGCTGTGTTCCTGTGCCGACTTACCATTTTTTTCCCCCTAATGTTCGGTTTTGGCCTTTTAAACCGCTCTGAGATGTTTATCATCAGTTGGGCCTTTTCCATCCCCTTCATTTCCCGAGCCGCAGCGAGCGGGCCTGTGTGTAGCTCCCTGTAACGCAGCTGCACGCCTCCCCCGGGCGCCGCGCTCCATTTGCCGGGGCAGTGGGCCGGCCTCGTCAGGCCTGGCGCCGGCCGTGGGGCCCGTGTGTGTGGCTGCGTCCCGGCACCCGGACCGGCCGGATCTGGCTTTAACCCCAGTGACCTCTGTCTTCAGCTGTATGCCGGAAGACCCGGACACGGAAAACGCACCCGGGGGCGTCCATCCCGTTAAATACACCTGTCTGGCAAATATATTAGCATTCTCTGACCTTGATCCTGTGCGTGAAGTGCTGGTTTAACCCCCCCCCACCCCCAAAAAAATGTATATGAAGTAATGGTGAGAGTCAGAACTGGTTGCGGTAATAAACATCATGACATTCCTCTCCGGCCCGGAGGATAATTGTGCGTCGCTATGGGCGCGGGGGCTGAATGTGACCTTTACGGCAGCACAATGCACACACATGAGGGGGACTGGATACATTTCATTTGAATAGCTTTTTATTTCCCCCCCCCACCCCGGCCCCGTTGCCTGGCGCTCTCTACACTTGCTTTTTAAGACATTCATCACAGGGCTCTCTGTGCAGGATGTGTTTGTTTGGCCGCTGGTAGCGCCATGGAGAGGTTCGCAGACTCCAGCCGCCCCCCCTCCCCCCCCAATCCGCACATCTGCTGTTGGAAAGGAAGGAGTTGCCACAGTTGTGTCACTGATCCATGGGTCCCCCCCTGCCCTCCCCCCCCAGTTTCACACCTGATTCCGTCTGACAAAGGCCCCTAATCGCTTCATTTTTTCTCTCTGCCGGCTGAGAGCAGCTGAACGCACATCCTCCGGTCCATCTGCCGCATCTGTAATACCCCCCACCCCCCCTCCCCACAC